AATGAGACCTCATCTTTACAATAAATCAAAAAATCAGCCGGGTGTGGTAGCGCGCGCCTGTAGTTCCAGCTACTTGGAAGGCTGAGGCGGAAGGATCGCCGGAGCCCAGCAGGTCAAGGCTGCGGTGGCCGGTAGCGGCCACTGCACTCCAGTCTGGCGACAGAGTGAGACTCCAACTCAAAAAAAAGAAAAAAGAAAAGAAAAGAAATAGTTCAAGAATTCTGAGAGAGTGCTATCATAAGCGATGTTTTTAGAAATGTAGAGTATTGAAAGAATTGAAAGGGCAAGGAGTAGCGATTATAAGGGAAGTAAAGGTGATACTGCAGGAGATAGATGCATAAGGGAAGAAGGCTTTAGAGGTGGGAGAGAAAAGAAAAATAGAATCATTCTAGAATGACAAAAAGAATTAGCACCTTAAATAAATCCTTTCTGGGATTTTTCAGCATTGACCTCAAGTAAGAAAATTTTTACACTGGTCAAGCTATGATATGTTGTTAACAAACACTGTTGAGAAATTAGTGTGTGTAGTTCATTATTTGATTCCATATAGAATAAACATAATCAGAAACTGTGTTCCAGCCTCAAGGAGTTTTCAGCCTTAATAAGAGAAGGAAAAGATTAACATTTGTCCACTAACTCAAAAAATGAAGAAGATCCTATAAGATGAAGAGCAATGCAATCTGTGCTGTAGGGTTTCAGAAAAGAAAAAAACATCACTCTGGTTTAACGTATAGACAAGAGGCATTTACAGAAGAGAAAGCAGTTGGGATTCCGAATGCCAAAAGGACACTCTGTTCTGTTCTCTTTGAGTGTCCTTGGTTCCACGTTATCATCTACGTCAATCTTATACAATTCCATCTACCCTTTTCTTGCCCGTCCTTTCCTCAGTTAGACCCAATAATAGAAACTCCCAGCAAACAAACACAATTATACTTCTAGCCCTGTAACAAGCTGGAGTCTTCTTCTACTGGATCAACTTGCCAAAGGAACTGGTAAAGATAGAAATCTTTACCATGTTTGAGAACGGGCGGCAGAAGAAATGAAAGATGGGGAAATGACAGTGTGCATTTTGTTTTAGTAGCTACCATGTGCCAGCTACTGTGTGAGGTTATAGGAGATATTGTAATGGTGAGGAGTGTGTTGGGTAAGAATTGTGACCCACTAATGAGATTATAGGCAAAGGGAAAAGGAAGAGAAACAAATACTTGATTCTACTACTTTAAACATATCACCTTACATATTTCTTTCTTTCTTTTTTTTTTTTTTTGAGTTGGAGTCTCACTCTGTCGCCCAGACTGGAGTGCAGTGGCCGCTCCCAGCCACCGCAGCCTCGAACTGCTGGGCTCCAGGGATCCTTCCACCTCAGCCTTCCAAACAGCTGGAACTACAGGCGCGCGCTACCACACCCGGCTGATTTTTGATTTGTTGTAGAGATGAGGTCTCGCCAAGTTGCCCGCTGGCTCAGGCAATCCACTCACCTCAGCCTCCCAAGGCGTGGGTTTACAGGCTGAGCCACAGAGTCCGGCTCCTTATATATTTCTCACATTTTTTTCAGCTGAGAAACTGAAAAATGAGGTAAAGTAAATTATAAGTGGAAAATCAAGGATTTAAACCTGGGTCTTCAGACTCCACAGTTGATTGTGTTTTCACTATATCGTGGTTCCATTAACAGATGTAAAAATCTTAACTTACATGTAGGAGTCATTCCTGGAAATAACCATCAGAAGAAAAAAACTATCTCCATAATCTTCTCCTTGTTTTTATCTTTTACTCTTTATCTTTTACTGCAGAAGAGATTATACTAGATCTGAGATGGAGACCTTTCCTCTGCTGCTACTTGGACTGGGGTTGGTTCTTGAAGGAGTTTCAGAAAGCATAATGGAGGTAATTAAAGAAGAATTAACAGAGGAAGAGATGAAATATGACATGGCAAAAAGCAGCCAAGAAAACCAGACCACTGAGGTAGTAATGAACTTGACCCTGTTAGATAAAAATACCTGCCTCATCATGTCCAAGAATTTATGTCTTACTCATTCAGAAGGTTACAGTATAGTGATCCCAAGGGAAACAATTCAAGTAATAACAAAGAGAGCTGCAATGACACGACGGTCTGTAGAAAAACTTCAGAAGCTAATGGATCTTGCAAATGGAGCAAAAACTTCATCCATGGTGCCATGGAAGTGATGCACCAGGTCCACAAAGCCCCCAGCTGCAAGTCTGGACAGAATCCTGGCATAAGGTGCTGTGAGAGCCCAGAACTGGAGAATACTATGTGCCAGCTCACTACCAACATACAATTCCCCAGGTCCAAGTACCACAGGGTTACCTCATTAAATATTGCCAGTGCTGATAGGGCATTCTCTGATGAGTTGGTTAGTTAGTAGTTCTAAATTGTAA